TATAGCCAGCGACTCGCATCGGCAACGAGATTTTTGCGACACGTTCTTGATAACACTTCAAAATTCTGACCACTGAAAAATGAAAAGTACAAGTCATACACATGCCAACAGCATCAGGCAGGCACGATACTTACTGGTCGCTACAGCCGCCGACAATTTCACGTTCATTTTCTGCAGATAAAAGTATACTGTTGCATAAATAGTAAAGTGAAGGTAAAGTTTTTCCTGCTGTTAAGCAGAACTGAGTGAAGGTAAATCTTCCTCAATTCTTATCCTTTGCATTAGACAGAGGTAACTGGTCAGCTTCATGTCCTGGCCACTCTATTTCTAGGGAAAGGCATCAAGGTTCCACTGGCTATGAGGCTGGCTGGCCGAAGAGCCAGTGTGGATGTAGTACTCGCCTCAACCAGGATTTCAACCTCGGTCATCAAGCGCACAGGATAATCAACAGTATAGGTCATAAAATAATGTTCTTTGTATAGTGTTTCAAGTGTTAGCAATATAAACCATACTGAAAATTAAAATATAAATAATTAACTTAACAGGATCAATGTTTTGTTATGTAGAAATTTTAGTTTTATGAGCTTCTTTTAACTTTGGGAAGCTTGATTTGAACTTCATTTTTAGCAGTGCTTATACGAGACAAAGACAAGCCAAAATGAAATTAGCCAAACAGCAATCACTGTACACTTTTCAGACCAAATTTAATGTAAACACAGTTAGAAAAACAGACAGGCACAACTCTTCCATCATGTATGGCTATACTTACTGACACGAGCATGCACGGTGACTCTCTGTATGCTCCACAGCAACCAAGGAAGCCCACAATAAACATCAGCGCACCAGTAGCCAGAAAGATGTATATCCCTGTGTAGTAGCTGGATTCACCCGATGCCACACTGACATAGAAGGCTGTATCTGTAAGCATCCATACTGACAAGACGATCACTGCTAGGCCTACCAACTGAAAAGAAAGAAAGTCAGGGTGCTACATTAACTAAATTCAGAGTGTGCTTGCTACTTTGCAGTTCAGAATCTTTTGTTTCCTGTCTGCTATCTGAAAATATTAAGATTAAAATATAAACAACTATTATTCTACCTGCTATTTTGTATGGGTGTGGAACATGGTCTCTCACATAAAAGGATTACCACAGTTCAATGGTGTATGTAAGAGAACAGAATGCTTGGGCAAATCTGGGCCTAAGAGGGATGAAGTGACAGGTAACAACGCATGAATATCCGCGTATTAATTTAAAAAATCATTAGGGAGGAGAGACAAACACCTGACATCATGCAGCGGTAATCATTTAGCGCCTTTGATTATCACAAGACGAAAACACACGATATCTAAGTTTTAGGCCAAATTCCGAATCTTTAGACTTCATCTTACAGCTCCTGGGATAGGTTCCTGGTACGAGACAAACTCACTGGCAATCGACCAAATGCATCTACTATCTTGCCGACGGTTATAGAACAGCCTTGCAACGCATTGTTATAGCTTGTCTCAATTGGAAAATCATGTTCCTTTCGGCATTTTAAGGCATGATTACGAAATATTAGTAGGATCTGAGGTTCTCGACACGGTGAGGACGAAGACGACTGTTTTCCGCCATCTTCAACCACATATTCGTGACATCAAAGTCTGTTTCTGCATAAAACAATTTACGCTTTATGTTGCTATGAAGTTGTGTAAACAACTTGAAGGTAAACTGAATGTCGTAAGACCCGAATGTGCAGGGTGCTCGCTGAAAAGGATCTACTCCTCAATAATAGTTTCTTTAAAATTCGTACTTGCATATTCTATATCAAAGAGCAATCTTAATAGTATTCCTAATATATCCTAGGTTTCTTTCCCTTTACGCTTTACAATTGAAATTCTGTACACATGTCCCAAATCCCCCATGGGCGCAACATGTCCTACACAATCACCCATCTTTATATAACCGTCTCCACTCTCCTATTACGTCCTACTTTCGCCGTGTTAGATTGCTGGTTAAACAAATCATACGTTCATACTAATATGGAGATTACAAAAATCGAGTCAATGCAGTTCAATAACAAAGCTGGCTTGGATTTACCCCCAGCCTCCACTTGCGACAAGCAACTCACAGTGCAATGACCAGCCCGTTCATCTACTGAAGAGTGAAAACAGTCGAGAATCGGAGGAGTGAGTCAAGGGCACTAACAAAAAACGTGGAAATTCCCACAAGTACTCATGCATATTGCCAACCACAATGCCAAGAAGAGTGAAAGGCACGGAGGTGAAGTTCAACGCTTTACAATCGAACCTCATGGTCGAGTGAGTAGTTTTCGTGACTTTTCACAATCTTTGCAGGTAAATTCTAAGAGTGCACGAGCCACAGGCCACGAATGCCCCCTTCCACGCCCTTCGACGTAATACAAAACCATTTAAATCATTAGAGATCTCGACAGAGGTGAAATGTCAGCTTTCGGTCGCTTTACCCTCACGGCTGAACCCCAGAATGAGGACTTGCGTTCCTCACGGAATTCGAAATGCGGCCTTCTAGCCTAAAGCTGTCATGGCTGGTGCGTCCAAGTAAAAGTGGCAGCCATTCACGAGACACATCCAAGCCAAACGACTACTGATGCCGTCTCCAAGTACCTATGTTCAATTGCATGAAATTCAGGGTCGTTTTGAAGAGGAAACATTCAGACGTGGTCTCCACAATTATGAGCACAGTTTACAGTCCGTACGATGTACAGACACCGACCCAATTGCAGCGTTTGCTTCCCAGATTCCCCACCCTATCGCGTACAAAATGCCCCACAGTATTGATTTGTTCTCCAGTTTCACGCCCTACATTTCTGGACGACATTAAAGTAGACCTACACAGCTCCCGACATAACTTGATATCGTGCATGTCACCTAGAGATCAGGGGGCGTTGTGGTTTAGCCCCACATATTCTAGACCTCGACACTAGAGGGCGGGAAGTGGCCATCTTCACGCCAAATAGTGCCGAGGTTCATGTGTCAATACAGTTCAGGACATCGTGGGTAGGTCGAAACCAGAACTTGGCCGACTCCCGGACAGAGCTCAGACTAGTTACCTCACTTATTCTAGCACAAGCATTTTTGAAGCGGTAGTTCGGTCACCAGACCTTCTCATGGCAACATTCTCTGCTCGGCGCCATGTTATTGGCACTGATATTGAGCCAGCTGAATTCAATTTACAACTTCACGCTATTAAGATCCGTTTTAATATAATCTTCATATCTTCGCATTTGTATCCAGTTTGGCCTCCGTCAGCTTTACAGACCGTAATTCGGTACGAAGTTCTCAAAATGCATGCAGGTGTCCCCAACATCTCACCTTGTTAGTACAAATTACGAAGCTCATTATGACAAATTTACGCTGAAGTTAAGAATGTGTCCCCCCATAACGTGGTGCTTCCTTAAGCAGTAGGGGCAATATTACCTTTACCTACTTCCTGAGGTACAAACAGTCGTCATCGGCATCCTGTTTTCAAACATACTGAATCCGAGATTGTCATTTGTGTCTTCATCGTTCTAACGTTCTACTTTTCCTTTCTTTCCAAAATACCAGTAGCCTAACGTCCAAATGTCGAGATGCCAATGTTCAGTGACTGACTGTAGATCCTTCCATGCACAGGGACAAAAATTGTACGCAGGCAACAGAAGGTCTTTATGAAAATACAGCTTTCCAAAACACACCCAGCAAATTCTTATCACCTGCCTAACACAAATACTGAATTATGTAACAAATCAACTAGTAAACATACTCCTGGATGTGGCTTCCACTATCTCTACATACACGAAGCGAAATTTACATAAAAAGGGAAGTGACTAAGCGCCGATGATAGCTTGTCTGTTTCTGCCCCTCCCTCCTCAAGTGACCGTGGTGTTAGTCCAACTCAGATAGCAATACGCAGAATTTTTCTTTCCTTAAGACGTCTATTTTAAAGGCGCAGAGAATACATTGCGCAGGTCAGACAACATGTTTAACCTCAATAATCATTCACTTGCCGGATTCCGATGAAGTCTGGTACTGGGCGAGGGCCTACATCGTTGGCCGAATTTAATTTTCGTCCGTACCAATCAATACATGAACCTCATACCAAAATCAATCGAAACTTCCTCAAACAAACCAATAAAATTGCTCAGTTAATGATTTTAATTTTTAAGTAAAATTAATCCTTATACGGAATAAGATAAAAATCAGCCAGGAACTCGCTAATCGTATTATAGGAACACGTGCTGTAGGACAGCACAGTG